TTACTCTTTCTATCCTCTGTATTAAAATTTCTTCATATCATGATCCGACATAAAAATCATTTCTGAAAAAATAAGCAGCGCTTCATACCACATACTGTTTTCCATTTGATGCTGATGCTATAGCTCTTGATGAAAATCAATATTTGGAAGTTAAAAAAAAAATTGTGAAATTTAGAGCAGAGGGTCATTAGTCCTTAATGTTTATGAGGCATGGAACCAAAAGCATTGGCTATATCCAGCCATATGACTGCAAGTCCTGCTTTCATTTCTTTAAATTTTGTCCCCCTGATAAAATTTTAAAAGATATGAAATTCTTAATTTGGGATATTTTGAAATATAACTCATCATGAGCTCAATTTCTATGATGTTATTGTTATGTCATTTTCTGTTGGTTTGTAGGCTGGAGTAGTCTGTTTGGGAAACTTTTTTCTTTTAAAGTGATTATTGCCCATTGATCATTAGCTGGACTTTTTGCTAATTTGTACCTTGTTATCAACACTTATTAGAAACTTCTAGAAAAGTATAAATGATATATCTATTATGGGAAATATTACTGAAATTTCCGATTTAGTTTGAAGGTTGAAAGTTATGTACTTTCAGATGCGGCATCCGAAGTACGACTGGTAGTGAGCATCCCTAGATCATCATCCATGCAATAAGGCTTGAATTATCCTTTTTTGTTGGTTGAACCCTGTTTTAATCCAGTTCATACTTGACTGTATTTGGTGTTGTCTTCATGCTAATACATGCGTTGTTCTGACTCATATTGTAGCTAGAGTTAGCCAATTAAAAAAAATGGAATATATGCCGAGTTTTCTCTATCATATTAATTTAGAATATGAGGACTATATCACTCACTTTAACATGTACGCTTTAAAATTATACCCCCGCTCCGAAGGAGAAGGGGGTATACTGTTTTACCCTTGTGTGTCTGTCTGTCTGTGTGTGCGGCCGTGTGTCTGTCCGTAACAAATTTTCGTCGGAGTTTTCTCAGCAACTAGACATCACAGATGATTGAAATTTTAGCACACTCTTTGTTTAGGCATGCCACATGGTGGGATTCATTTTTGTTTGAATTCGATGTCAACTTCCTGTTTATCCGTGCGTCGTCTGTCCGTAACAAATTTTCGATGCAGTTTTCTCAACAACTACTCATCACAGATGCTTGAAATTTTAGCACACTCTTTGTTTAGGCATGCCAAATGATGGGATTCATTTTTGTTCGAATTCGATGTCAACTTCCTGTTTATCCGTGCGTCTGTCCGTACCAAATTTCTGTCTTGGTTTTCTCAGCAACTGCTCAGCGCAGATGCTTGAAATTTTAGCACAATCTTTGTTTAGGCATGCCAAATGATGGGATTCATTTTTGTATGAATTCGATGTCAAAATGAGAGTGTATATTCACATCGCAGCGGGGGTATTACTAGTGAGCATTCGCTCACAGACTTCTTGTTTTATTTGTGCAATGCAAAAAAGTTTTGATTCCATATATGGCTAGAGCTGCGAGGTCGCCAAACTGTCTCATTTACATGCAATTTAATCACTTAGTTTCTTACGTGAGCCGAGGCTCTAATTTTCAGTCACTATAACTTTTAGTATGAATAAAATTACGAATGCAAGTCAAAAAATTTTCTGTATAAAAATAAGGACTTAATCTTTTTGTGGCTTATATTTTATAATATATTATGTGCAATATTGGGGGTTTTAATTTCTCTATATAATGCAATAAATCAAAAGAATTGGATTTTTGGGCAAGCAACCCATTTTAAAAACGGGCCGTTTTACCTGAATACATTTCATAACAAGCTAATTTAGAGAATTTGTGTCCCCCGCTTAAGTACAAAAGAAGGGAGTGGGAGAACTGAAAAAAAAAATACAGATGGAAAAAGAATGTCAACGTAGACCTTTCAGCATTTGGCCTTAAAGTCAAATGAATATAGATATTTTTAGGTTAAAGAAATTCACGACCTTAATTTGATTGCAAAAGTTTACAGAGAACTTAAAACAATGTATGCAATATATAAAGAAGTAGGAACGATTTTGGCTTTATTGTGCCCTAAAATTTAATGTCTTCAAAAAAGTTTTGAAATTTGCTTAAATATGTGTTTAGTAGATGGATGTAATGAATAATGAAACAACATGGCATGAAGGAGGGCATTCTGGAATTATGATTTCATTAATTTAGTACGTTTCTAAGTTTCCAACAGAAAAAAAGCTCCTCAAAAATTACTCATGTAAGGGGTTATTTTCCTTAAGAAAATAGGGACCACAGCCGTCGCCCACTTCAATTTTCAGATATGTTTTGTAAAAATCTTTGGGAAATTACATTTATTAAAATCTTTGTGGGCGTTGCACATGGTCTATATTATCAGAAAGAAAATTCGACTGAAAATTGACGTCTTCTGCATTTTTTAAAGAAAAAACGGGAAAATGCACAATTCATGACGTTACATTTAGCATTCAGAAGGTCACATGAGAAAAATGATTTGTATGATCTTACTGCATGGAATTTCAACAATTCAGAATGGATGAGTTTTAATATCTGGCACCACTTTCATATTTTAGAAAAATACAGGGTTAGACTCTCTATTGTAACAGTATCATGTTCTTTCTGACCTTGGTCTTTTGACCTCAATATCAACAGGAATCAATTTCAATTCATTTGAACTAAAAGTATAAAATTTCATTGCAAAACCTCAAAGAGAACTAGAGTTATCACCAGGAAACCATTTTATGCATGATATGAATTTTAGACCTTGACATTTTGACCTTAAACTCAAAAAGGGTCTTCTTTAAATCATTGGGAGTCTCATGGAAAAGCTCAGTAAAAACTAAAGTTATCATAAAAAACAAAAGGGGTCTTCTTTAAGTCACTAGGAGTTATATAACTTCACTGAATAAGAGAACTAAAGTTATCATCTGGGAACAGCAATATATGAATTTCTGTATTTGATCTTTGACCTTTTGACCTCAAAATTAAATTCCATAAGGCCAAAATAAAAAATATCTTTGTTTCCCCTAACGCGACCGACCCACTTAAATCGCGCCGACTGATTTTTTTTATTAATAAGATTATTCAAATATTTTTTTTTTATTGTTTATTAACTTTATGAAGTACACGTTCATCAAAATCTGTTTTTATCAGAACAGCGACTTTTGTTCTGCTCTGATTTTGCGCCCACAACATGAGAGGGTTAGTTCGTGTTATAAAACAACGGCGACGTATCAATCTTATTATATACCTTTAACTAATTAGAATCCTACACTCTTGAAGAATTTCGGGAATTAAATACAGTGTATATACCATGACTAAGGAGTTTTTCGATGGTATTTACAAATATATCTATGAAAATTAACGTATATGTGCGTAGTAAGCATGACAAAGCCTGACTCAGAGCAGATGAGGGGCCCATCAATAAATTTCACTGCATCGATTGGATCTAATAAACAGTTCATGTATGGACCTATTTTACTATATGGGACCATAGGAGTTGTAAATATGTCTCTGTATAATTATTTCATCTTCAGAAATATAATTCAGACGTTTCTTCATTCCTTTTATTTATGTGTTCAACTTCATGACAATAACATTAGATATATATGGCATTTTAATCATTTTTAGATATGGTTTGGTTGAATTAAATATTGTTTATACATATATACTCTTTCCTACATGTATACTCTTTCCAAACAGTGTTGGAATCTTTAAAATTGTCTTATGGTACGGCCTCCTGAGATGTCCAATGCATTTTCCTTTCGTTAGGTCCTTGGTTATAGGTTGTTTCTTTGCTTTAGAATACCTTTAAAAGTTGTTGGGCCGACAACATTTGAACATCTACCTGGTGGTGGGCCTCAAATTTAGAATATTATTCGGCACATATGCCCATTGATAATTAAGCATCAGTAAGGGATCTTTTTTGCCCCAACATCTACACTGCGACATTGGACCCACGTTTTACGGTCTCATTCGACTGACCAGTCTCCAAGTCCCACATCGGGACCTATGACTTAGAATAAGCTCCTAAATTACATCCTGAATCCAAAACTAAACACTTTAGAATCACTGCGCCACGTGAAGCCCTTGACATTTTCCCTGTGTAAGCACTTGAAGATGATAGTAGGTTTGAAAAATATACTCGATGTCCGATAGTTGAGTATTAGTTTTGCGAATCTTGTCTTTTTGTAAATATTCGATTTCAATAAATTTACACTGGCCTGAGATATTTCACAAGTTCAAATGAATAGTACATGTATTTGCGAATTTATTTAACATACTGTACATTGCTTTTAAATTTCATTTGTATGATATTCGGTTTAAAATCGGTTTTTTTGTTCTTTCTTATTTATAAAGATATTCAATTTTTCAGAATGTATTTTCTTAACTGCTTTCAGACCCAAAAAAACAGAAAATTACATACCTACATACCCAACTTGAGATTTTAGGGTCGGGTTAGGGGAAACAAAGACATTTTTATTGATGTCCTAGGAAGTTGTGTTATAAGAATTCATTGCAAAATCTCGTACTATACTAATAGTCCGGAAACGAAAGTCTTACAGAATGACAGACAGACAGAAGGACGAACAGACCAAAATTAATGTCCCCTGTTCACTAAAAGTGGGTGACATAAACTTTCTATAACACCAGTCTCTGACGATATACCAGAAGAGTAAGGGACAGAAATAGATTTTTCTGAGTCCAGGTACATATTGATTTAAAAAAAAATTGACAAAATTAATGAAAGAAAAAGAAATGATTTAAAAAATTAGAATCTTTTAAACAAATAAAAAAAAAATAAATGCACACTCTCTGAAGTAAGATTGACATGATTAAAGTTTTTTTTTTCAATTAAGCGAAGACCAGTGGTCAGCTAGGAATATTTGTATTGGCATAGATTTAGCACAAATAAGTCAACTGTATCATTGTATCTAAAGGAATTTTTCAATGTCTGTTGTCCTATTACGTAAGAAACAGGAGAGATTATTCCACTCGCAACTTCTCGGGCACTTACAAGTGTACCATGAATTTGCTATTTATACAACTGAGAATAGGTTTTTTTTATTTCTTGAGGAATAAGCATTGTTTATAAGAAGGTTGGGAGAACTTTATCTTGGAGTTAGTAACGATAAATTTGACTATCAACAAATACGTAATTAATCAAAAAAGAAGGATCTATTTTACTTTCTGACAGCTAAATCGAAGGAAAGATGGCGATGGACTGCTGTGGGCGATTTGGAAAAGCTCTCTTAATCGGCATCAACATTTTGTTCTTTGTAAGTACATCAATAATTTTCATCTTTGATTAAATACATTTTTTTGTTGTGCATGTATTTGTAAAGTTTTTTGAGAGTAAGAAGATAATGTGCATACGCCCCTAATGTAAAAACAAAGGTGTGTAGATATGCGCAGTATGTATGAATACATCCATCACTCACAGACACCGCACACAAATTACAAGCGTGTTTACTGCTACACAAAATCCCTTTTACAAGATGACTAACTATTAAGCAGCTCTAATATGGTAGCACTAATATAACTTTTTATTCTTCCTCTTGTACATCCAATATTAAGTCTCGAATTCGTTATACTCTATTCCAACAACCAGGCCCTCACACGATTCGCTACAGATGGGTTTCAATTGAAAGAATTAGATGATTTGTTAAACAAAGTACTAGTACTTAAAAAAATGTCAAATCAGTCCCTGATGGTATGTTCTACACATTTTTCTTAGCAGCATTTGATCGTTGTCCCCATTTAGAATAGGCTAAAGATTTGTGCAAATTAGAATAATTAAATTCTTCTTGCGGACACTTGTTTCATGAAAACTATATTGCATATTAATAGGTTCACATGTGTATATGTGTAGAGCATCTGCTTTGAATAAAGAAACAAACGTCTTTGATACTACACGGTACACATGTGATATAAATTAAATGGACTGATATTACTACAGAAAACAAATTATTTAAATCAAATGTATTAATGTAAATGACTGTACATATAAATATTACTCTTGTTTTTCTCGTGTTATCACGGTAAGAGTAGTCTTTTATAATGACTGAAATTGTCCACACTGACATGAAATGAATTCTTAACATACAAGCGACAAACATGTAGAAAGGCCTACATTAATATTGATTTCTACTACTAGTATTTTCCGTTTTGATTACTTCAGAAACCACTTGTTTAATGGATACAAATCTTACAGCGGAAATTTTTAGTTTAACTTGTTCTTCCGACGGTGAGTTGCTTCCTCTCAGTATTCAGCTGTGAATGTAAATATTATGGATGAATCACTTGCTCTCAGTATTCAGCTGACATAGTTGCTCTGAGCCATGTTTTATTTATCGACACAGTTCTTATTGACTCTTATAAAGCCTTATCCAGACATTTCCATTATTATTAGACATTAGATCCCTTCATTCCATCGATGTGTAGCAGCTTCCTAAGAATGACTTTTTGAGATGGAAATACAAGGAGATATTAAACTGTTAAGGGGAGAAACGATAATCAAAATACACTTGACTTACCAGAGTTCATTCCTAAGTTTAACTAATGTTTTTAAAACACTCACATATATCATTTTAAAATGCATAAAAATGAACAAAAAAGCAAGTAAATATTGTTGCATGTGAAAACGCTATACTTTGTTCTTGCATGTCATATAGAATTAGACTCGTACAATGGTTAGAAAAGTGAAGCTCAACATTATATGTATAAACAAATATTAGTTAACAGCTATACTTCCCAGTCAGTTATTTGAGTAGTCCCTATCATAATTATACACCCCAAAAGGAGCATTGAAGAGTGATCTCATCATGCTCAATGAAAAAAAAAGATAACCAGTGTGACTTCAGGCTCACCCACACTTTGCGCCTCAAGTGACTTCTCACTAGCTTACACATTAGCAGATAAGGAATATATACGCCACTGACCGCATGGATTACGTGATTCGCGCATGGTCAGAACAATGGCAGATGTGCATTAAAACCGGAGAGGACTACTTTAAAAAATAATGCACACTGAAACCTCATTTTATTTCTTTTAAGGAAGTAATTCAATTAGTTCGCGAACTTTTTGATCATCCCTCCTGGAGTATAGAAAATATTTCCTTGATATTTATGTCCCTGAATATCGAAGATCAGAGGCATAATGTTTTGTCCTTCTGTTTGTCTTAAACTTCAAACCTCCGGCTCGATAAAACAATGGCAAGATAATATCTCCCTGACCATTGAAATCTCGTATTATCACATGAAGAGAGTATCAATAATCATGTAACTTAGATTATTGAAGATCTTTTCGTGGCTTTCAATAAATTTGTTTTGAGTGAGTACAACAAATGAATAAAATGGATAATACTGAGAAGCTTTGGCTTTGAACAGATTACTTGACTGAATGCACACAAGATCAAAATACAAAAAGAAACTACATGTACTTAATAATACAATACTCTAATAATTTAAAGAAATCAGTATGTTTATAAAGACTGAATTGTAGCGTGTACTTTGTTAATTTAGCATCAATTGTTGAGGTATTAATCGAACTAGTCCTCATTTAGGGAAAAGGGAAAATAAAATGACTAGTTAAATAAATTTATTGCTATATAGTATTACCTGCCGTGATTATTCTATAGCTCCAGAATCAAGTTATAAAAAAGGACGTTATTATTCCATGGAAGCCATCACACATATATAGTATATATAGAAAAGCAGAAAAAAGATTATACGGAAACGTATTAGTCCCTCGTAATTTTTCTTCAAAGTTTGTAATTCCAACTTTAAATTTTGGTAATTCAAACTTTAATATTGCAAACTTTAATCTTCAGTTGGGTTTTCCAACTTTAATCTAGGCTTTTCCAACTTTAATTTTGGCTTTTCCAACTTTAAAGTTGGTAATTCCAGCTTTAAAGTTGGTAATTCCAACTTTTATCTCGGCTTTTCCAAATTTAAATTTGAGCTTTTCTAACCCTTTACCTTAAATGTTTTTTGTTTATTTTAATTAAACTGTGTCAATTTATTTTTTTTACCTGACCTTACCTATGACCATACAAAAAAAACTTCCAACTTTAAAAGCTCTTTTTTTGGGGTTCATCTTATATAATTATTATATAGAGGATAACTTCTTATAACTCTGTACATGACAGGATTTCAACCATATCTGCTCAGGCAATTAGACATATATTTTGTTTTGTATGAGAAAATAAGTACATGTATAAACAAATGAGATCAATCATAATTAGGTGTTTGATATAGAGGATGAATCAGCACTATATTTCATGCTACGAATTCAACTGAACTAAATGTATCTATTCGGTTTATGAAAATAAAATGAAATAATTCCTTCTTTCATTATAATTTCATTATTGAATCGTTTCTTTCCATTGTAATTACATGTTTAAAGCAGCAACATGAGTCCAGCTACAAAGTATATAAATATAATCGCACAGAGTTGGAAAAACCGAGAATAAAGTTGGAAAAGCCAAAATTAGAGTTTGAAAAGCCAAAATTATATGTTTAAGCGTCATTTAGTTTGTAAGGTTTACAAAGGAATATACAGAAATAATCTTTAAAAATCTTTCTTTAATAAATAACCATTTTTAGTCTTATTGATAATCAAACATCTTCAGCGTAGTTTAAATTCAAATTTGTTCGGATCAGGATCATAGGAATAGGTTTAGGATTCAATAAGGTATCAGAGTTTTACAAGGAAGTATGTAAAAAGAAACCTTTTCAAGAGCGGTAAGGTCACACCATCATATCAATAAGCAAAACATTCGAATTCCTAATGTGGCTTCAGTTTTTTTTATTCCTGGGATTTGGGTTGAAATCCAGATTCTACATAATGCATGTGCTCAGGAAAAAATCGTGTTGAAAACAACAGAGCCATGTTAGTCATATTGATATTGGGCTAGGTTTGGTCAACATTTTATGAAATTAAGGTCTGACGATACGTTTCTCAAATACTTCTTTTTTGCATTCCTTTGTAAATTACCAAGACTAATATTATACAATTATGGACTCTTTCGGTGGTGAATATGGTTTGTTATTCACCAGAAAAATATCGCCTCGGTCAATATTGATATTTTTCTGGTGAATAACAAACCATATTCACCACCGAAAGAGTCCATAATTGTTTTATTATATAGTCAGGATTTGAATGAATAAAACATTGAAGGCTGCATGACGACTCCATTTTCATTAACGAACTTCTGTCGTAGAAAAATAAAAAAAAAAATGTCCAGATTATAACTTATAACTTCCGTGTTTTCCTTTTGCTGTGTGTAAGACATCGAAATGTTTGGAAAATAATCCTACGAGAAATTTGCCTAAAAGTTTTCCTGTTCAGATATACAGCTTGCACCGGCCGTTGCAACCATTGTTTTCAACGTTGTTTTAGGTATTGATTGTGACGTCACAATGCCACTGCACGCGCACTGACACTCCGGTGAATACGGCTTCAAATCCAGTGAATATATAGTATTATGAACTGTTTGCGTTTGTATAGATTATATAGGGGCTTTTTATAGACTATATAATAATTATCATTGTCATTTGATTTCTAAACTATTTTTTTTTCATTTCTGAAAAATATATAAACTAAAAATCGTGATATTAGCAGTTGAAATGATTTCCAGTATAGGATTATATAGGAAATACCATCGTCCTGAATATTGCACAAATGCCAGGTAATTATGTTCCCTAATTTTTTGTGAGGAAACTGCTTAAAATATCAATATTTCAATCATAAATTCTTGGGAAAAGTTATATATTTTTGAGGAACGTGTCATCTGACCTTAAACAGGGGAATTTAAAAAAATCTGCTGATGACGAACAAGCACGGCCATAGTCACTCAGGTGATCTTTGTTGCCCATGGGCCTCCTGTTCTTTGCATCTCGTCTATTAAATGTATTATTTTACCATGTGACCAATTAATTATGCAAATCCCATGCATATTTATTCTTGGAGTACAATTGTGAAGCTCAATTGCATTAATGCAACATTGTACAATTTTATATGGTGCCATAGCTTTTCATTTCATAATGAAATTAATTAACAAATACAGTCAAACCTCGTTATCTCGAACTCAGAGGGACCGAGAAAAACTTCGAGATATCCCAGGGTTCCAGATATCCAGGGTAAATTACTCAAAGAATAAAGGGTTGGGACTTCCAAATTACTTCGACGTATCCATGGTATTCGAGATATCAGTGTTCGAGATACCAAAATTTAACTGTATTCTCAACAATTTTAGTATCTACAACACAGTAAATTATATGTTTCGCGCATAGGAATATATATATATATTTTTCCATTGTAGTTACTTGGTGTTGGTTTACTGGTAGCGGGAATAGTAGCGAATGTGAATGCCATAGCCGACGAGGTATTGCCCGCGCTAAACAAGGTGGAGTTGGCAGGAAACGACTTGGGGAATTTTTTAAACAGTGTTTCAATTCTGGTCATTATCATTGGGGCTTTTGTGATGTTAGTTGCAGGCCTGGGTTTATTTGGAGCCTGCTGTGAGGTCAAATGTATGCTAGCCACGGTAAGCTTTCAAACTTTACACTTTGCTTTATTATGTTGCAATGTTTTTAAGTTACATTAAAAAGACAGGAACTGTCCTTTTCATCTGCATCCCAACATCAAAGTATGGGTGAGTGAAACATCTTGTGCTATTTTTTTTTTAACATAAATTAGAAAAAAAAAACTAGTTAATTTCTTTCAAGTTAAAAAAAAATTATTAAAGCAAATGTAAAGATTTTATCTCAAATCAAAAAATACTGTGACAAATGATTGATGTAGTGACTGTTGTTTTTATTTAATTACAGTATGCTATCCTGGTGTTGCTTTTACTGCTGATGAAGATTGCAGCTGTCGTTTTATGGTTTCATATGAGAGGAGTGGTAAGTGTAAAACTCCATTGAATTAGCAGGGCTAGTTCAAAGGATGATCCAATAAACTATGGCTAATGTTCAGGTGTAAATCGAATATGGTAAACATGCTAAATGAGCTTATTGCCACTAACAGTTCATACTATTATAAGTTATATTTATAATTTCTAAGTATTAATCATCGATGTCTTTTAGTAATGGGTGAAGAAATAATGACTTCCAATATAAACATGAGTTCCTTTTTAGCTCACATGAGCTGAAGGCTCAAGTGAGCTTTTCTGATCAAAATTTGTCCGTTGTCTGTCGTTGTTGTTGTAAACTTTTCACATTTTCATCTTCTTCTTCGGAACTACTCGGCCAATTTCAACCAAACTTAGCACAGAGTATCATTAGGTGAAGAGGATTCAAGTTTGTACAAAGGAAGGGCCATGTTTTCCTCCAAGGGGAGATAATTATGAAATAGCGAAAAATTAATGGCATCATTGAAAAATCTTCTTCTCAAGAACCAATGGGCCAAGAAAGATGAAACTCATGTGGAATCATTGTCAGGTGGTTTAGAATCAAGTTTGTTCAAATCATGACCCCCGGGGGTAGGGTGGGGCCGCAATTGACGACCGAAGTTTTACATAGGAATACATAGGAAAAAGCTTTTCAATACTAAACTGATTTTGGCTTTCTTCCTAGCCACAGTGTTCAGGTGAGCGATGTGGCCCCTGGGCCTCTTGTTATTAAATTGGCTTTTTTCATATACAATGTAATAAAATAATAAATATGCAAAAAAAAAAAAAAACCAAAAAACAAAAACAAAACTATTTACAATAATGTCAATTTGCATTATAAAAGACTGAATATTTTGCAAATCATAAAAAAGTGGGGAATATTCTATCTACAAATACATATTGTATGTTCATTATTTTTACAAAGAAATTTATTAAAGGGATTGTTACTTAATGTCTGCATGTTGCTCTCCTATTGAGTATACGTATTGTTTATTAAGCTATATATATATACATATATACTGTTCTTCTAGTTTAATAATGAAACTAAGGAGGTCTTGCTCAAGTCCCTGCAGGAAAACTATATCGACGAATCTTTGAATTCTACCAACGATATTTCTAATGCATGGAACTATGCATTTTTAACGGTACGTAATAACATCGTACGTAATTCTTGATATTACGTGTTAAACAGTAAGACATTACTGTAATCAGTGGTAATGTAGTATTGTTATTCTTAGACTATGTCAAAATTGCTGACTTGCTCTCCGACAAATCAACAGCTAAGCTTGAAATCCAGCCATCGTACACTATAACACATCTTTATTTATTCTTAAGACTTCAGGATGCAGTTCATGCCAAAAAAAAAAACAAGTATATATTTTGATAATGTATATATTACTTTAGTTTGATTGCTGCGGCGTTAATAGAGTACAAGGGACTACAAACGATTTTGACCTCACCCCTTGGTGTACAACTTCCGGTGATTGCCAACAAACAAATGCGCAGATTCCTAGAACTTGCTGTGTGGGAGTTACTGAATCAAACTACAAAACCCAGGCCCCGGCTGACTGTTACGCCAGCGTTTCCAAAGACTACAATACTCAGGTGAGTGTTATTATTTCAGCGAGAAATTTGAAGGAAATCATTAAAAAGAATCCATCAAATTTGTCAGAAAACTATTGAGGATATAGGAAGGGCAATTTATTAAGATTCAACAAATTTATCAAAAAATTAGGAAACGTATAGAAATTCTTGAGCGTAACATGGGGGCCGGGGTCCATGAATGTTTTTCAAGGGGGATCCTTACCGACTTCAAAAATATCTGACTCGGAAATTTTTTGACAAGCTCCCCCCCCCCACCCCCAGCCAAAAAAAAGTGAAAAAAAACCCCAAAAAGTTGTCTTAACAAGAAAAACCTACTACATGGGGGTTGGAGGTTGGACATTTTTCAGGACTTCTTCCGGGTTCGTGTTCATAAAGGAGGCGGGTAACTAAGTTCACTTTTTTTGAAGGGTTACTTAAATTTTATAAATTTAACTAAAAAAAAAACAACCTCCCGACTCTGCTCTTCTAGATTTGCACATGGCTTAGGATTTAATACATTTTTGTGTATGTAAGCATTCAAAAATCGGCATTGGTTTTAAAATTAGTTTCTATATCATGATTAAGGATATAATTGTACTTTGTAACATAATGTTTCCTTCGGAAATATACGCCAATTCCACTTGATTTTGAATATTTTGTTGATTTTAAAGGGCTGCTATGATCGGTTCCAACAGTTAGTTCAAAGTTCATCAGCACCGGTCATTGGAGTCGCAATTACCGTTATGGTAATCGAGGTAAGAAACTGGGTTGTTTTTTTACCACTACAGTAACTATTAAACAAAATATTACATTTGTTCTTGACACTTTATGTTTGAATGTTGCCATTCTCCACAAGACTAATACCTGAAACCATTTCTTATATATATACATGTATTTTCAAATGGTTAACATACATGTATTTTTTCTTAAAGATATGCTTTTTTTTTCAAAATCACGACTGAATTTTAAAAAGAGTGTTACTCGTTTATTCATCTTAAATTGATTATTATCGAAAAAAATGTTTGTACAATTTTACTACGATGAAGAAACCTAGAGTCGTTTTTGTACTTTATCGCATAAGGAGAAGCCCTCCTCCTGGCACAAAAAGAGAGTTCACATAATTGAAAATTCGTCCCCCTTTATAAAATATGAACATGGATGTATAAATATTAAACAAACCTTCATACTTTTATTCTGTCATGAAATCTTTTTTCCTCTTTCTTGTTAACTTACATGTGTACATTGTCTTTCCTAGCTTTTGGGCTTTGTTTTTGCCATTGTCCTATGTAAGCAGACGGGATCCGAGTCTATGGCAGTGTAATGTAACAGCCCAGATACTACACTGACAACAGTAGAGTCAGAAAGAACTCCAGCTCAACATTACTGTCAAGCCACTCAGCCACTATATTCATATACAACACTCCTGTACTAAGCTTCTATATATCCTTGTTAAAGCATAAGTAGTAATTTAGACAATGTAAATTCTATAATCTTATTATTTTCATGAATATAAATTATGTTTTCTGGTTTAAGTATATAATTTCTATTGAAACAGTTTTAAATCAAATTATAATGAGTAAAGGTTTCGAGTTACACATTTGTAACAATTAGTCTAGCTTTTAAAAAGACCTGTGTTTTAAAATTTAGCTTGATGTACAGATGATAATAATAAGCAACTTTATAAATAAGTCATCTCTCAATGCATGTAGTGCTTTTTGTAATGTTACTTTTAAAGAATGCAATCTTATTTTAGAAGACCTCAGGCCCATGCGGGGTATTTGTCCAGTTTTGGTGCTTTTGTTTCCTTTGATATTATTTTTGTTCTTGTCCTAGTCATTCTTTCTTTGTTTGTTTTTGTTTTTTGTTTTACATTATCACACAATTTAAAATAACTGTATGAATTACAAACTCTATCATGAAATATCTGTTAATCTCGAGACATACATGTATTTGTCAGACTACAGATTTTCTTAAATAAGAATCACGTACCATATTTGTTATTAGGAGAATTTTTATTCTTTATGCTTGATCAGAACATCAGTTCTTATGTACATATATATAGGTTTTTATTTTTGTTTGTTCGGAGTTTTAGTCAGGAAGAGGTAAAATATTCTTGCTTGTACTTATATACATTAATTTTTTTATTAAAAAAATTTTTGCGATTTTTCATGTGATTTTCTATATATATATATATATATATATATATATATATATATATATATATATATATATATATATATATAAGGAAAAAACTGTATTTGTAACTGTATTTGTACCCGACACAAATGAAATATATATTACAATGATGTCTACCAACACTGATGCGAGAGATCTTTGTAGCCGATAAGAGAAGAGGCCATTGTGACAATTAGACCAATAAAGAATGCGTCTGTGACTGTTAGTAAGGGACCATTTCTGTGACAATAATCAACATAAGAATTTTTTTTAGTGACTAGGATTAAGAAAAAAAATGTATTGTTCAAGAAACCTTCAACAGTGCATGCTGAAATACTACACTTAGTTCCAAAGGGAATTTCTAGTTTTAAGGTATATTAGTAAGAAATCGATTTCCGATTTAACCCGTCAGTTCCTTAAATATGCTAACGAAGGAATAGATGCTGTGGACATTATTAACATTCTTAATCATAAAAAAAGTTCAGTCTTGCATTCCAACATATTTCAATCTGTTGCTTCCAATTTTTATGCCCCCGTATCGAAGATTCGGGGATGTATAGTTTTTGCCCTATCCGTCTGTCCAATTGTCTGTCTGTCTGTTTATCTGTTTGTCCGCAAAAAGTTCAACATTGACCATAACTTTTGATTGGTTGGAGCTATGGCTTTCGTACTTCACATGTGTATTCCTTGTGACAAGACCTTTCTTTGGGTACCATCATGTCTGACCTTTTGACCTGACCTTTGTGTTTGACCCAGTTTTATAAAATTTTACCCAACATTAACCTTGGCCATAACTTTTGAACGGTTGGCGATTGGGCTTTCATATTTCACATATGTAATCCTTGTGACAAGACCTTCCTTTGGATACCAACAACTTTGACCTTTTGACCTTGACCTTGGAGTTTGACCTACTTTTGATAAACTTAAAACTTGCCCATATCTTTTGAACGGTTGGTGATAGGGGTTTCATATTTCACATGTATATTTCTTGTGAGAAGGCCTTTCCTTGGGCACCATGAATTTTGACCTTGAGGTTTTATTTACCTTTGAAAATTTTTGACCTTTTCCATATCTTTTTAATTGTTTCTGCTAGGGCTTTCATATTTCACAGGTATATTCCTCGGGACAAGTATTTACTTTTGTACTAACATATTTGATTTGCGTTTGAGAAAGTTTAAACTTTGCTATAAGTTGCCATACGGGGGCATCAGTGTTTCACAAATTTTGTTTTCAATTATACACAAACCTTACAGTACCTAGATATTGAACATTTAAAACAAATTCCTCTTAAGAGTTCCTTTTTTCAATTATAGTCCTGCTGGACACGTCATTACTGGCGATGTTAATATAGTTGAAAATGACAACCTAAAACCTATCATTTTAAAAGATCCTAAATACGGGGAGTCCAGATCTTTCAATTGGCGACAGAACATCATTTCTATTATGAATTCTGTCCAAGATTATGCGAAGTTGGGCGAAATGTGAAGGGGAAGACCTGAACGCTTTTTAAATTTGTCAGAATGGATGAATCGTGTTAGAAAGTGAAAAGTCAATATGGTAACCATCTATCATTTTTCACCAAATCAGAGGTAATAAAAGAATTAGAAAGACTACATAAACAATATGTTATGGTTCCAGCAGACAGGGCTTGAAGCAATATCGTCTTTGTTTGAAAGGCTCATTATAACTGTATTTTAGAAAAACTTGATTTTAATTCTACATTTGAAAATCCTACTTATACTCACTGTTCACTCTCGAAGGGTGAAATTCTTCAAAATTATATTTAAGTCTTTAATACTTTTAATATGCCAGTCAATAAAGGTGAGAATGATTTATCCTACCTATACTTAGATTCATAAACTTCATAAAAATCCTTACAAATATATATTGCTGGGTCCAGCAAGTGCCCTACTATATACCTATCATTTCTCCTCATAAAAAAATATTAACTACTGTGCTACAGCATGTTCTAGAAATGGTGAAAATCAAATGTGAATTCTCAAAAAACCCAAAGAACTTGGAAAATTTAAAATCACAATATTTTTCAAAATTAAAATGTATGACCTTTTCTACAGTTTTTAAAATTCTTCGCGATAAATTAAAAAACAGGCTTTTCAATATAATAGACAACTGCTTCTTCAATCAAAAAGAACTCGAAAATCTTTATATCTTGACTGGTCATCAACGAAATTACTTTGTTATAAATGAAATATATGGAGATAACGAACATTATTCAAGCCCAAAAGTCCATTAAACAATACAAATTTTGGAGCAGAGCATACACGGACCTCCAAAACATCAGAGGTGGGATCAGGTGCCATGGAGGAGTGAGCATCCCCTGCCGACCGGTCACACCCGCCGTGTGCTCCTTGTTATGAACGGGTAAAAACGGAAAAATCAGTCGAGAACTCAGTGTGTAAATAAAAGCCTAAAAATTAGTATGAAAAACGTCAGTCAGCATTTGACTTGATGATAAATTGTATTTGCTGACAAGGTCATTCTATCGACCATAGAACTTACTGACTTTAAACGAGACGGCTGATATTCTTGTTTCATCAACTGTTTGTCAATAACTTACCTCGTTTTAGAAATTGTTAATACGTAAAGCATGCTCTTGCGTATCGAATCAACTGAGATATAAACCCCGTACGCAGATGATGAAGGTTAATTGCTGCATAAGTAAGGGAAGTTAACGATTGAAAAGTTAATGTCATCACGTTTATCATAAAGCTTGGTTGTTAGATAATCATTAACGTCTTTTCTAGTAAAATATCCAAATATGAAACAGATGTGACAGACTCTATGGTATCTTTAATTTCAAGCTAACTGGGATATATCGTATCGACATACGAGTGGAAATAACTATTGTTAATTGACAATACGTCGTCGATATATCTAAATTTCGAGTTAAAGGCCACGGCAAGTGTTTTCTTCTTTTCACGTACAAGATTTTTAACAAATTCTGCTTCATGTGAATACAAAAATAGATCTGCTAATTATAACCGGACACAATTGGTACCCATGGGAATTCCAATAGATTGTTGGAAGACCTTGTCTCCAAAAACCACATAGATATTGTCAATCAGAAATTCAAGCATCTTTTTAATATCAACTTCAGAGTACTTGTGTGTACAACCAGAATGTTTTTAACAAAATAATTTTGCAAATGACCAATGACAAGGTAAGTAAATTTACGAGTTCCATTTTTATTGAAAAAGCAGCTGTCAATGATATCAAAAAGCCTGGACTTTAATTTATCTTGGGGACTGGTTTTATATAAAGTTGAAGTCGTAAAATTTTATGTTGTTGATTTTGGTAAAATTTTGTGACTTCACATTTTCAAAAAAAAAAAAAAAAAAAAAAATTGGAATTTTTTAATATCCACATCTGACTTACACCTCTTCTCGAATATATTGTTTCACAGTACTCCTGAAGTTTCTTCTTCACTACTGTTAATATTTTAGTTAGGAGTAAAGAAAGAGGCTTGGTAGAACATTTACTGGAACCCCCCAAGACTACATCGGGCCAACGTTGATTGATGGTTGCTAGGTTGGTATAGTGTTGGCGTTGGGCGGTAAATGTTGGTCCAACATTGGCCCAACGGATGATATGTTGGCGTGAAAGCTGGTCCATCGGTGTTTGGTATGCGATGTTGGTCCATTGTAGTAAATGTTGGCATGAAACATGACCATTATATGTTGGGCATTTGATGTTGGCCCAACGTAGGTCCAACCAAGTAGATGTTGGCTTAAAACAAAGCCACTGTGTGTTGGGATGTACTGTTGGCCCAACATAGGGCCAACCAAGTAATGTTGACGTGAAACACATGAAATGTGTGTTGGGCATGTAATGTTGGTCCAATGTTGGCCCAACGTAGTAAATTTTGATTATAATGAGGTATTGATATGGCTTTCAACGTTGGCCCAGCGCTGGTTCAACGGAGTGAATATTGGGATAAAATCAACTTTCATTAACATACATGTTGGTAATCTGTTAATTACACATATTAAATTTGTATCTTTTAGAACCAATTAAGCTTCTTTCAATAAAGACATCTCATCTTTCGTTAAAATATTATGAACAAGGGATTATCTTAATAGCCCATTTATTAATAATTTACAGTGTATGTGTTAATAAAAACGAAAAATTATTCCAGAACCTAATTTATGAAAATAAGATTTTTAATACTGATTTATGTTTGTAATTTGTGTCCGAGACCATTGCAAATACATGTAGAAGTTTTAATTATTCTGCACAGTATATAATTTTGTAAATTCTATATTTAGCATCATGGAACTTAAAGTGCTGAATTTTAGAGCTCCAAATAATTAGGTCAGTGGTGAAATCCACTGGCTCAGCAGGTGACTGGCCGGTTTCCTAGGAAACAGGCATCCTAATCAGCTCTGTTTCGTAAACTCGGAGTGGTCACATCTTATCACTTGCAACACTTGAACAAAGCTGCATATATATGTGCGTGTCCGTTTGGAATTGCAAGACAGAGAAAATGGATTGTTTTAGCCCTTGAAATGTAAGTATAGTCGTTTTAGGTGTGATTGATAGAATTTTATCTTTGTGAAAGTTTTAACTTGAGCATAGTTTGTAAAATTGAACAAGAATTGCAATTTTCAAAATATGCATGTATATTTACTATAGTAATCTGTTTAAAGATAGGCCACAGAGAAATAGAAAACATTTTGAATGACAAGAATTTAACGTACGAAAGACACTGTAAAAAACCCGATGAAAAAAGACATCGTATTTTCCGAGATATTTATAGCTAAACATGCTCATTTGCACGGTTAAATGTACACAAGTTTCGTGACGTCACACGATGTGTTTAGCATACACGTGTTTGCGTTAAGATATGGCCGAGAGAGCTGTCAGTGTTGAAAATTACGTCGAATCAGAGGTATCCGAGGATGAACTATCGCTGGATTTATCCTGTGGTTCTTCAAGTTTCGATGAAGATATTGAAACCGACCCAAATTCAATTGCACCATTCCGTTTTGAACCGTATGCAAGTGCTTCAGATGAGGAGTCTGATGAACCTGCAAATTACGATGACAGTAACAACAGACTTTAAAATACTGAATGGTAACTCCCTAAATGAATTGATTTACTAATTTTAGCTATCCGTGTTTTTTTTCCTTTTACAAAATAACACTGCCCAAGTAATATAGGCCTAATCATGGCGTTATCTTCATTTTCTACACAGGTGCACATGTGGAAACTGTATAGTAATGCCTACAGCAGCTGAGTGTGTATGCTGTCAAGAAGTGGATAGAGTGCATGCCCTAGTTGAAGAATCAGAAAATGCAATTAATTGTATTACATCTCACCCTGGTTTCCATCCAGCATGTCTAAATTTATATGTTCTGCAAATTGCATATTATCAGTATAGGCAACAATACAATGAAAGTATACCAGATTCCTCAGAGTAAGTTCACTTTTGTATTGTCTTTGTTAAAACAAATACATGTATATAATTTAAAACGTGTAATAAATAGTACAAAATAGATTTATTATTAAGTCATGAATTTCATTTCAGAATGTAAAGATATACAGCTTATCGACAGCTTGCACGCTGGGCATGGGGGTACTTGGGAAAGAAAGTAAGGGTTGTTCTACCCTCATGTGCAGTCACTTGTATAAGAAACACTTTTCCAAGTGAATCAGGACATTATACTGGTTTCAAACCAGGTTAATGATCTTAACTAAATGCATATTATTCATACATGTGTGAATGTATGTTGAATATACATTTGTACAATGAACTTTAGATATTTAACAACAAGCAGAAGAATCGTCGTCTTCAAAATTATGTGACTGATTAAATCTAGACGGTTTCTCTTCAACTGCCTTTGTCTTGTCTGGATGGTGATAGACACTACACAGAGGAGGAGGTGCAGGTTGACGCTGGACGACTATGCTAGAATTCATGCTGAATTGAGAGGCCCGCTCCTCAACTGCAGACATCAGTTTCTTTACATAACCTGTACAAAGAGAAAATAATTATAATTTGAAATATTATATATAAAAGTACAACAAAACGGGATTTGAATTTATGACATGTTTTTTCTTTACTTTAGTTGCTTATATAATTATGAAAATTCTACCGTAAGTGCATTCCACTTTAACTTCCCGAACTGTGTATTCCCCTTTTTTGTATTTTGGAAACACAACGTCAAATCTTTTTTTCCCTTCTTTTGTAGTGGCCTGTTCCCTCATTCCATTTTCATTAAAATGGAGAGCAGCAAGTATAAGTCTGTAAGATAGTTTAAGAATATGTAGAAAAAATATAAAAACAAAAAGGTTTTGATATTTTGAGTTTCATTAAAAATAATATATACCTTGACAGCATTCCATGGTATGAAAATCCAATCATCTTTGGTGCAAAGTGATTGACAACTGCATGGAATCCTTCAAGTGCTGCTGTCTGGGAACCAGGTGATAATTTGGGGACGTCTTTCTTCATCTGGTTTGAGAAGACCAGGTCTGAAAACTTTTCAGTCAGTTTTGATCCTTGCAAATGATGAAACTCAATTTCATATACTGATACAATTGTGTTTAACAAACCAGAAAAAAAAACACTTGCTAATATGTGCTATATTACCTGGTTTCAACCATTTTTTGTGTCGTTCGATGCCTTCCAAAGGACCATGGGGGCAGGTGTTATATAGTTCACCATCATGTTCATGAATATTTTGGACATGATTAGCAACCGATTGCCATTTTTTTAACAACAACTGCCCATTTCCATCTGGGGTTGATGCAGCAGACCAATATAAATGATTGCAAATACTTCTAATCCATTCTTGAAGTTGTTCATACCCTTTTTCCTTAGACATAGCAGTCAGCTTCTTCTTTAATCCTGATTTATGCAAAATACAAATTTGATTCATCACCTACTCCTCATAATTTAAAATATTATGAATTCTTAAGATACATGTAAGTCTACACAAAAATAAAATATGTTCCTTTTAAAAATGCCAAAACATTATTTACCTTTTGCTACATGCCATACATCAAAGTGATGGACTGTTTCTGGCATTTCTTCTCTAATGTGTTTCACAATCTGCACATGCCTGTCGGTTATGATCCCCTTGATTTTGATCCCTCTTTCCTGAATATGATTCGTGCTCCTTATAAACCCTTCCTTTTCCATGTGATGGCTACTTTTTACTTAATTGCTCTACAGGTGAAGAATAAATGATGTTAAATCATATGAATTTGCAGAAGAATACAATATGAGATGACCATTAAAAAGAGTACCTGTATCAGTTCTATATTGATTACAAGAGAAAGGTCCATGTCAAGCAAAGCATAGCTTCCAAACTTCGCAGAATGTCCAGGAGTATCGGCTCGACCATCCCCTCCGACAGTTAAAGCTTTGCCATTTTCTTCCAATTTTTTAAAATAATTATCCTGGAAGTTTTTCCAAACGGAACAAACTGATGGGTGGAGATAGTGCTTCTGGTGTTGAAAGAAAGTATTGGTTGTAATAGTCTGAATATGGAGATGTTCCATAAACCTAAGAACTTTTGATGTTAGTAAGCCTGGAAATTAAAAAAAAAGTTATAGTGTATTTTTTTTTACCCCCATCCCCTAATTAAGCCCATTAAAATTATACTAGTTGATAAAGTGTTACCTGTAAACAGAATAGCTGCAGATAAAAGTAGATTTCCTGCAGGAATTGACCCAGTCATTGGTTGACTGTTCCATATCCTATGATGTCCACAACTGCCACATATTTGCTCAGCTTGAACCAAGGACCCTTAAATTTTCTTGACAGCAAATAAGGTTTCAGATGAACAAGATGAACAATAGCGGAATAATTCGAGTAGGTTGGATTCAAATACAATGAATTTTCTTTCATTCCACATCCCTGTACCTTCACTTTTACTGAAAAAAAAACAATAAAATTGCATTATGTAGATCAATGGGAGAAAAGTAAAAAACTCTAATTTTGGTAAAATTCTATCTACCTATTTTCTTCAGAAAAGGTGTCTGGCAGTGAGTCATCTGATAAGTTGGGCTCATAATCTGAGTCTTTGTTAGGTTCCTCTGTGTAACTGGGAGCTGTATCATCAACATCGTCATTCAGATATGATGTTTGTTTCAATTTTTTTTTTTCGCCTTCTTGAAAAGTCGAACTCTTCCAAATCCCTGTTGACCGTTCACGGTAGCTCAGACGGTAGAGCGCTCGCTCCGTGATCGGAAGGTCGTGAGTTCGAATCTCGGCCGCGACAGACCTAAGTCGATAAAAAATAGGTAGCAACTGTTCCTTCGCCATGCGCTCGGCACTTTGAAGTGAAAGTTGCGGGTCTTTCGGATGAGACCTTAAAAACCGAGGTCCCGTGTCACGGCAGGCGTTGGCACGATAAAGCTCCCTCACTGCTCAATGGCCCTGAGTGCCGAGTAAAGGTCAAAAATTTGAAGCCCTTCACCGGTATATGGTGACGTCTCTATATGAGTGAAAAATTCTCGAATGGGACGTAAAACAACATACAATCAATCAATCAAATCCCTGTTACATTGAGTCCCGGTAGTAATCATCTTGGGTCTCTGTCTGATGTCAACTTGAACTCCTGATCAAATTAAATTATTATTAAATATATATATGAAACAATTGCAATATGCAGAATGTTGCATATAACCCATGAAGTATTTCAGTTTACCCTTTTCTTTTAATTGTGGCTTGACTTGAGAGTATTTTGATCTTCTCAGTACTGGTTTCCTGTCAACCTGCATCCCAACAGTTCGAGTCTTACTCTGAAAAAGTAATAATGAATGCCAATATCTAATTTAATTAAAGCATATTTAAAAACTATTCTGAATTGCTTTCAATCTACCTGTTCAGGTTCATCCAGGTTGTTACTTGAATCTGTTCCAGTCTCGACTAATTCAGTATTTTTTAAGCTGGCACTGCTTTTAGTCTGGATAACCTTTAAAATTATAAAATGATTAAGATTTTTATTGCTCATAGCCCCCCCCCCCTCCCTTTCATAACTTTTAAACAAAAGTAATTATAGTTAAAGATTTCATAAGTAGTTGAACAAAACTTAAGTAAATGAATGTTTTTCCCACAAAAATACACAATGAGAAACAATGCAACTTACTCTCATACATTCACGTTTTCTAAAAGCAGCTCTCATTTTTTGGGTTGCGAAGGACGCTCTGAAGCTTCCTGGTGAGAGGGTGATGCATACGGATTCGACCTTTTTGGACACGGCACATCGACTGTGTGAACTGTGGGTACTGCATCTGATAACAAACTTTTCCTCTTTACTTCAAAACCTATAGATTCTTTGATCGAATATTCCTGAGGATAGCACTTCGATGTGAAATGATTTTCACATAGCACGGAATACTTGCTTGGGTTTGTGAAGTCTTTTCTTTTAGTTTTCACAAAATTAATCCATAGTCGCCGAATTTCAGGGCGATTTTCTTTCGGAAACTCGTGGAGAGACACATTGTCACGATTGGTTGACGTACAACCCGCCGCTACACAAAACTTTCCAGATATTCTCTTAGACATTTTATTAAGCACATGCTATTCATACACAACGTGTGACGTCATATCCGGTTTTCTGGTCTTTTTCTGGAGATCGCACAGGTGTGTTAATCGCTATTTTTAGCGTTATCTCTGCAGTGCGTTGGAATTTGGGGGAACCACATATATCGCTGTGATCGTAATTTTAATATCTATTTTACTGACTTGAAAGTTAAAACCTCTAAGGCCTTTCTTTAAGTTTTAACTTATAAGTAGTAAGTGACATCATTTTTGAACGGATTAAACTGATATATTTTTCATATCATTTATAGCGTCTGGTGGGGAGAAAACCCTTTGTGTTACAAGACAATTGATGTTTGGAATGTAATGGACAGGACAGTGAGTGATTTATCTCAATTATCAGTGTGAGAGATATGGATTTTACAGACAAAGAAACAATAACATGAACAGGAAAAAAGGAGTGAATGGTTCAGAAGTAATATGGGCAGGAGAACATTCCAAAGTTTCACAAATTTGAACACTGGGACTCTAGAGGAATATTATATAGTGACTGAAGTAATATCAGATAGACTTAAAAAAACATTGAACTACATTTATTTCCCTCTGTTGATTTCATTCCATAGGTGTGACAAAAAATAGAGCATTTGTTTGAGGAACAAGATAATTTACCATGCAGGATTTATTCAATCAATTGTATTTTACTCGTAATTATGGAAATAAAAAGGTTACAGGAATTCATATTGTTGAAATAAAATAATTCAGTCGCCGATCATTTGCCAACATGTTTATAGAACGTAGGGCCAACGTTGGTCCAACATTCATTCTTAGCTTTAAAAAAACATTGAACCAACATTGAGCCAACAGGAAGTTAAACGTTGGGCCATTGTTGGGCCAATGCCAGATAACCAACCATCGAATGTTGGCCCAACGTCGAGCCAACTTGTTGGTTGAACGTAGGGCCGATGAGCAAGATGATGTTGGGCCAACGCAATTTTCACCGTTGAGCTTGCGTTGGCCCAACGTAGGCTTGCTATATGGGGGCCGCTATGTATCTTCGTTTGTAAGGAATTTTATGAAGTTTCGGAATCCAATATAGATATGGTAATTCAAATTCATGTTGGTTGTTGGGAATATTAAAAATATTCAAATCACTCTGATTCTCCACACAAGTACTCTGAAATTGATATTAAAAGGATGCTGGATTTCATCATGGACAATATCAATGTAGTACTGGACTTTTACGAGAAGCACTGACTTTTACACTCGACGGCTTACTTTGACAATTAAATATGTGTCATGTACGGAGGTACGGAATTGATATTATATTAGAAAACCTTACTAGTGGTCATAGGTATGATGTTAGGGACACTTACATGATTTACTTGTGTTCAATCAACACAAGAGATAATGGGAGGTAGAATAAATTAACTTAAAATTCCCTATTATGAGGGATAGAATTTCCTTTCAATCTCATTTTAAGAAGGAATCAAATAAGGAAGGAAAAAAACATTCCAGAATGAAAACCTGGCAGTAGTTGGTCAAATGGGAAAGGGGGAGGTTAGTACAGGGTGTTTATCCTTCCCCTCCCCAGAAAACGTAATATGTGCTTTGAAATGCCCAATTAATATCGTTTAATTAACTGTTAAGCTAAATACTTATATATCGCAAAAAAGCTGCCGTATATTGTCCCACTGTAAAAGTAAGTCCTCGATTGTAAAAGTCAGCGCTTCTCGCAAAAGTCCATTTGGAGACCAGGTCTCTTAAGAAACTGTTGGAATACAAGAGGGTTCTTATTGTGGTCCTTTACTAGACGACCTGTTTTTATATTATGAAGCAGAATTTATCAAAAAATTTCTACATGACTTGTCGTTGCCTTCAACCCGACATTCAAATCTATTGACACGTATTATTAATGAACAATAGTTACTTCCATTTATATATGTCGACTCGTTGTATCCCAGTGAACTTGAAAGAAAAGACACAATAGAGTCTGCCACATCTGTTTCGTAATTGGATGTTTTACTGTCTATAGACGATTAGGACCAACTAACAACTGAACTGTATAACAAGATAACTTCAGCTTTTCAATCGTCAACTTTCCCCTTTTGATGTAGTAATATTCCACCAATACCTACATATGCTGTTAATGTCTCCTAAATTATTCGATACTCAAGATGATGCTCTGAGTACGATCCGGCAGGATACTGACAGATAACTTGATATTACAGAGATTTCAACAACATCGCTTAAAGTCAGCATTTCGCAAATTCTATGGTCGTTATAATGACCTTGTTAGTAAATATAACTTATCAATGGGTCGTATTTTGACTGACATATTTCATACCAATTGTTAGGTCTTTAGGCCTTAGTTTTTAGCTCTACTGGTCAGAGACCAGAAGAGCTTATGCGATAGTAAGGTGTCCGTCCGTCTAGCTGTCTGTCTGTCTGTCCGTCCGTCTGTAAACAATTTTTCAAAACGCTACTCCTCCTACAGTTTTGGTCTGATTTCAATATAACTTGGCACATAAGTAGACTACACTAAGATACATAATTCTGTGTATCGGTTTTTTATTTCAATGAACATTGTTGCCATGGTTACTAAAAATAGAAATTTCTGTGAAATACTTTCGAAATGCTACTCCTCCTACAGTTTTGGTCTGATATCAGTATAACTTGGCACACAAGTAGACTATACTAAGATACATAATTTTTTTTTATCTGTTTTTGATTTCAATGAACAGTGTTGCCATGGTTACTAAAAATAGAAATTTCCATGAAACACTTTCAAAATGCCACTCCTCCTACAGTTTTGGTCTGATTTTAGTATAACTTGACACACAAGTAGACTACACTAAGATACATAATTCTGTGTATCCAGTATTCGATTTTGATGAACGGTGTTGCTATGGTTACTAAAATTAGAAATTTTTAAAAATACTTTCAAAACGCTACTCCTCCTGCATGTTTTGTTTGATTTCAGTATAACTTGGCATACAAGTAGAACTACACTGAGATACATAATTGTCATTATTGCTTTTTGATTTTGTTGAATGATGTTGCCATAGTTACTTAAATTGAAATTTCTGTAAAAATATTTTGAAAGGCTACTTCTCCTACAGATTTAGTCTGATTGCAATAAATCTTGCCACAAAAACAGACTAAACCAGGGATCATTATTCTATTTATTGTTGTTGCAAAGTTTCAAGTCCAAGTGCTACTTTTATCTTCCTTTATAAGTACAACCAGTAGAGCTACAGTTTCCTCAGAGACTTCTGGTTATACTGAATATGTCTACGAATTATTTTGTCCATCTGCTCATGCAATACATAGGGCTCACGGCGGGTGTCTCAGGTCGACAGGGGATGTTAACTCTTCTTAGGCACCCGATCCCAAAACTGGAATTTCCAGCTGCCCGTCTTTATGCCCTCTTCATACATTTGTATTGTTTGTAGGGTTTTTTTTGTTTTTTTTTTAGATCGATCACTGTTCGTTATCTTCAACTTTTTTAATACTGAAATTTCAGTGTTAGTATTTAATTTATCCACATAATGTTTTACAACGACCATGTCACAAATCAACAATTGCAAAAAAGATAGGCATTTGAAAAGTTAAGCATTATAGCTGTATAATAGGGTCCCTGTGCTGTTCGTATCAATGACGAGGGATATATTGTAACTGAAGATGGATCAGTGTTTCTTCTCAAGGCACTGATAGTGAAAGTTTTTGTCAAACATTAAATTATTCACTGAGGCCATTGATTGTACCAAACAGCCTGTAGGTTGAATGAGGTAGAGTTCCAAACATTCATTATAGATAGGTTCATGTGTAAATAATTATTGTCGAATTTGATCATCATATTTTTTAATGTTTCACTCTTTCATGCAAGGTGTTCTCATTAGACAATCCAAAAAGATGTCAACTAATTTCGAAGTACACGTAGTTCTCCATATATATCACATGATATCCGTGTGAATTGGTAATGAATGGGGAATAGTTTCCTAGATAAATCTTGACAAAATATAAGTATCTGATGAGAACTGATTACATGTAGCTAAAAAAAGTATTGACAAAATATTTTTTGTAGACTGATGTTAATGTTTGTTATGCTAATCGTATGTTATCCATGTTGACCGACTCTTGATAAATACCTATGTCATTTTATTTAATGTTTGGCACAGTCACTGTCATATTCCTTTTAATCAATATATTTGGTACACTCATATTCATTAGCTTTTTCAGCTTCGTATCATCAGTGACGTTCACATTCCTTTGCTCAGAACTCTCTCCTCTACGATGTATTCTTTGGATATTGGTACAATCAATTGACGCATTCACTTTCTCATCAGATATGATACAATTACTGATGCATTCCTACTAGGCCTATTACATAAACTTAACATTGTCAATTTATCAATGGCTGTTTATCTTGACTTATTCTATAGTTAGTTAACAAAGAAGATATTAAAATTCGTCATCTTCTTTGTCCAATGCTACATCTATTTATTACGGAAGCCTATTAGTGCCAACCTGTATATATATAAAAGCAAACCTCTCTATATAAAGGAAATGCGAAATGTAAAAACAGAACCTCGAAATATATAAAGGAAGTGCACTTATGGGCTTCCGTAGTTCATGTTAAAGAAAAGCATACCGTTCTGTAACATGTATTTATGAAAGCTGATGTAAGCATAAAAAAGAATGTACTTGTGTATCCTTATCTTGTTAAAATCCTGATAACACTTCACCCTTTATTAATAATTGTCTATTTCTGTTGTCAATCTTTTAGGACTGTCCTCAGAACATCATTCAGTACAGTTGTTTTAAGTGATTAAATATTAGGAATGCCCTTGTTAAGGTCTTCCGTTCCAATGGAAGACATTCTACTGATTCTGATGATTAAAATTATTCGTCTCCAACGGAAGACCTTATTGTTTTCGTTCGGTTTCTTTTTCCCTATTATTATTAGTCTTACCGATTTTGTGCAAGCGAGTTCTCGGTAACGGCTTAGCCGATTTTCATAAAACTTTCATATCTGATAGGTATTGATCTGAACCTTATTGGAAATTTTTTTAGTCTTTTTCACTTTCCATCTTGAGATATTTGGGGTTTTCTGATTTTCAGAGGGTCGGCTTGTCCTGGAAACTCCTCCGAAACGACTTAAGATATTGTGTCAAGATTTTCAGTGAGGGTAGGGGAAGGTTTGAAGATTTGCAGATGGGTGTCCAAAGCTCTCTGGCGCAAAAGGCGCCGAAGCTCAGTAGGGCTCAAAAATGTCTCACAAAATTTTGGACAGTGTTGATAAGCAATACTAAACAAAACATGGTCAGAATAATGTTCTAAAAAATATGCACCCCTTCAATTTTTGTTAAACGGCCCATTCAGGACTTGGAGGGGTGGCCCATAAATATTTCCATTCGGCATATCTCCACAACGAAAAGAAATTTTTGAATAGGTGTTGAACAAAAAGTCTTCAAAATCACAAGACCTTTCATTTCATATCAAGAAAAAGGGGCTGACCCCTCAAATTAGGGACTCAGAGGGGCCAAAAGTCTTTCATCTATAACTCTTTAACTATCAATATTTTGTTATCAATTACTGAAGCAAAATGCTCATCTTAACGATTTGCCACTACATATTATAAAATGAAGATCATATGGTGCGTAATAAGGGACCAGAATGCTAAATCTTTGACGCTTTATATCTCAACAAGGGGAGATATTTTAATAAGCAATAT